CCACAAACATATATGTACACAGTGTACCACACACACTACTCACTTCTCATACATTCCACATGCATTAGTATATGGTACACACATACCACATTCACACATACATAATACACAAACATACACACACAGCACACATATCACACATGTATATATACATGACACACAGAGATACACAGCATACATGCTCACATACAAACTACATGGATGCACATGCACACAACACACAAGTACATACAACATACCACACCTGCATGTACACATTACACATTACACATATACCAACCACAGTCACCACATGCATGTGTATATACACCACACACATATATGCACAGTATACACACATAAATACACACCACACGTCCCACACATGTATACACACAACACACACCATACACATGTACATAGACAGCACACACACACATGCACAGGCACACACCCCACTCAGGAGTCTGGAAGCAGGTGAGCACGCATGCATGGCTCTTTCCCTCCTGGCTCTGGCGCGTGACAGACGGTGAGGACAGTCATCTCTTTCCTTTCTCATCACCCCCAGAATGCAGTGACGTGGTCCCAATTTTCTATGAACAGGTTGAGCAGGGAAGTGGGGCCCCTCGCAGGCAGGCGCAGGTGCAGGTCCAGGGCACGATGTCGGGGGGAGGGGCGCGGGCGCATCCTTGCGCAGGAATAGGATCTGGTTGAGCGCTGCTCCCAGGGCAGACGCGGCCGTGTCGATGCTGAGGACCACGCTCCGCACGGTGGAGCCCAGCCTGGGACGCCCAGGCCTCTGAAGTCCCCTGTGCTCCTCCAGCGTTGGCAAGCACAGGTTCGCCAAGGCCAAGAGCAGGGCGGGGATGGGGGCCATGAATTCTGCCGCAGGCCCACTGGGTCTGAACCTTCTCCCAAAGCTCTCCTGGTTCCGGCTCATCCAGCAGGCTCCTTGGTGGTCCTGGAAGCTGCAGGGGGCAGGGAGCACTCATCTCATCCTTCTTCTGTTCCTGAAGCTATCTCATCACAAGTGCTAATGAGGAGGACTTGCAGTCCCAGGCTAATCACAGGAACAATGCCAGGGGATAGAGTGAGGCAGAGCAGGAGGTCCCCATCCCAGGTGTGGAAAACAGAAAGGAGAGGTCCAATCTGGGGTGTAGGAGGGCACTTGGAAAAGTTCATGGAAAAATGGACTTGAAGAAGTTACTTTTGGTGCAAAGCTGTTTGAAATGCCTAGTTTTTAGAAAAATATTTCTTTTTCTTTGAAAGGCAAAGTTATTGTGAAAATGAGAGAGAGAGAGAGAGAGAGGAGAGAGATCTGAGAGAGATCTTTCCTCTGCTGGTTCACACTCCAAATAGCCACAACAACTGGTGCTGGGCCAGGTTGAAGCCAGGAGCCTGGAACTCCATCCAGTTTCCCACCTGGGTGGCAGGGGACCAAGCACTTGGGCCATCTTCCGCTGCTTTCCCAGGTGCATTAGCTGGGAACTGGATAGGAAGTGGAGCAGCCAGGTCTCGAACCAGCACCCATATGGGATGCTGGCATGGCAGGTGGCAACTTTACCACTGTGCCACCATGCTGGCCCCTATGCATGATTTTTATAATATATATCTTTCATGAACTTTGTGAAGATTCCTTGTATGCACTGATTTTTATTTTTTTCCAACTAGATAAACTTCTCTTTTCAGTCAATTTTCCGTGAACTTATTGAAATCCCCACGTGTTGCTGCACCTTGTACTTGTGTCTTTTTTTCCCTGTATTCAGAACCAAGTAAGTCCATGCAAATGGCCTGTCTGAGTCCTGCCCACCAGCACCCAGCCCAGCCCAAGCCTCTCAGTTGGATTCAGAGGTTGTCATGCTCAGAACACGAGCTGTTCACGCCCGGGCTGCTGGACACCACGGGAGGCGTGCTGAGCGCGTCCCTGGACAACTTCAACATGGGAACCAGCAAGGACGCGGGGCCCGAGGGAATCAGAGGCAGGTGGGTTTCACACGACTGTTCTTGGTGTCTTGTACCTGGTGCTGTGGCGTGATCCACACCGGAAGATCTTGTTTAAAGAGGTCAAGTGTTTAAAGAAAGAACCTTCAGTGGGCCACTGTCAATTAATTCCGAAGAGTCACTGGAGGCCGGCTATGGGCTGAGTGTGTGCCATACGCTGCAGGGCAAGTATCTCATCCCCCTAGCACCTGCTTCCATCTTTCAGTATGCGCTAGGTGATATGAAATTGAGGAGGACAAAATAAACGAGAGAGTGTGTCTGTTTGACCTGATCATGGCCCAGCACTGCTCTCAGCACATCAATTCATTTGAGCTTCACCACCCTGTGAAACGTCTCTGCGGTTCCTCCCATTTTACAGGACAGGGAACCGAGGGGTGAGGACTGGAACGCACAGCTGGCCTTGGAGCCCGGGTTCCCAACTTCTTTTCGGTGCAGCCTTGCCTGTTGAAGGATGCTGCTCATTGAAATTTGCCTGTGGAAGCCGATGAGCTTCTAAGTGCAACTTTACAGCATAAAGCAGGCATACTTTTAAAAATAGCCTAGAACTTATGTTACACTTACACTGCAAGTTCTATAAATAGCTCGGCTAGATCCCCAGGCAGCTCACGGCCAACAAAGGCTGCTGGAGGAGCTGCTTCGGCACTGAGTTTTACACGGGCTTCAGCAAGAGGGTGAAGTGCACACACACACACCCTAAAGTGCTTCTTGGAAAAGCACTGCTCCAAATTCTGTGGATGCAGTGTGTGCACCGCGGTGCAGCAGCAGCTCTGTCGCTCTGGGTGAAGCATGGCTGCTCCCAGCAGCTCTTGCTGAGCAATGAACTATCTGGAACCACTGTGGCTTAAAACAACCGCATCGTGTCACCCACCCCACCACTCCTGGATGACATAGCCGAGCACGGCTTGGTTGAGGGCTGAGGGCTGAGGGCTGAGGGCTTCGTTTGCTTCGTGCGGTACTGGCTGGGACCATGAAGGATCTCAGCGGGTGCTGGAGTAGTCTGCTCACAGGCCTGGCCCCTTGGTGAGGGGGACTGGGATGCAGGTTGCCCTGGGGCCCTCTCCCTCCCTGTGTGGTATCAAGTCCTCTCCATGCAGCACCTCCAGTGAGGCTCCGTGTGGCAGCTGAGGGCTTCAGGCTGCCAGTCCTTTTCGGTTTGGGCTTGAAGCTGGCACAACCTCGCTTCTGCCATCCCCTGGGTACACACAGTGCCATTTCAGCACAGATCCGAAGGAGGCAGAAATCAACTCCCCTCCCCCCTTTTTAAGATTTATTTATTTGAGAGGCAGAGTTACAGAGAGGCAGAGGGCAGAGAGAGAGATCGATCTTCCATCCTCTGGTTCACTCCCCAAATCGCTGCAACAGCCGGGGCTGGGCCAATCCAAAGCCAGGAGCCAGGAGCTTCTTCCAGGTCTCCCATGCGGGTGCAGGGACCTAAGGACTTGGGCCATCTTCCACTGCTTTCCCAGGCCATAGCAGAGAGCTGGATTGGAAGTGGACTTGAACTGGAGCCCATATGGGATGCCAGCATTGGAGGGGGCAACTTTATTCACTACACAACAGCACAATCTCCCAGAAGCTGACCACCTGCTTTCCTAAGCACAGCCAAAGGGTGGCTCCTCTGCACCACTGGCTCCATTGAGGGCGCCTTCAGTGCCCCCACCCCCCGACATGCACCTGCTTCTGTCCCTCCGTGCCTTTCACCCTGAGCTGCTGCTGCTGCTGCTTCTTCTTCTTCTTCTTCTTCTTCTTTTTAAGAAAAGGCTTTATTTGAAAGGTGGAGTTACATCCATTGGTTGGTGCCCCAAGTGGTTACAACAGCTAGGGCTCGGCCAGGACAAAACCAGAATCCTGGAACTCCCTCCTGGTCTCCAGTGCGGGTGCAGGGGTTCAAGTACTCAGGCCTCTGCTGTCTTCCCATGAGTATGAGCAGGGAGCTGGATTAGAAGCAGAGCAGCTGAGACTCTAACCAGTGCTCATATGGGATGCTGACATTGCTGACGGCAGCTTTACCCACGGTGCCATAGCGCCAGCACTGTATTAAAACATTTTTGATACAATGTGGTAACACAGTCGGGTGATAAGGACAACTGAGTCTGTTCAGGGGGTTTGCCATCCTGGAGGTCCAGACCCGGCTTTGGTGGAGGCCCCGAGCACCCACTACTTTGCTTGTGTTCTGGCTTCTTGCTCCCTCTCCTTTGCTCACTGTGGAAGGCAGCTTATCCCTGTGTGGATCTAACCTGAGGGTAGACAGGGGGCCCTCTCGATTCTCCCAGAGCCTAGAACATTCTTTGTGTACTAGACTGCTGCCCATTCAGCCAAATGCAGTTGAATGCCTGCAGGAAAAGTTCTTGGTATTGGCGTGCAGGATGGAGGGTGGGGAGTGGTGTCCCTACGCTAACGGCTACAAGGATCCAGGAGAGAAGTGACAGGTGTGCACATGGCAGGAGGGGTGCTGGACTGTGCCAGGCTCCTTCCCAGGGCTCTGGGCTACAAACAAGAGCAAACATCAGAATGCAAGGACATTATAAGCCCCGGGGCTTGACACTGATGACCTGGCCTTGGTGCCCTCACAGACCTGGGCAATGGGGATTTTGTGTCCTGGTCACAGCTGGGGACGTGGAGTTCTGTGAGTGGCCACGCAGCCCACCGCAGTGGATAGGGGGAGGCTCATCCGAGGTCTGTGTGGCTGCAGAGTCCCCTCTGAGATCCCAAGGTTTGCCTGTGCATCCTGATTCCTAGAGCAGCCCCTGATAGGGTCCCCCTATGGATGTGCCCAGCGATGGAGAGTGAGTTTGTCTCTTCCAGGCCACCGTCCACACTCAGACACGCCTAGACATTGCCTTCAGGGGGCGCCTGACCTAACCTTGTGGCCTTTCCCTGCAGCCTCTGCCATGGCCCGGAGCTGCCGCAGGATGCCCGATTCATTCAGAAGCCAGCGACTTTTGATCATCTCCTGGGGCTGAGCAGGGGTACGGGACGCGCCATGGCCGGGGTCGGGGTATTGACGGGTGATCCTGCTTCAAGATGCTTCCTGAATCATCCTAGCCATCTTTTTCACTCTTTACAGTTATTTTCAAAACTACTACGCTTGGGAAGAGCTCTCCCAGCCCCACTTGGCGTTGTCTGTGTGCGTGGATCTGACACGCGTGGCTTTGGCGAATGCGTTCCCAGTGCCCTGGTGCAGGAGGAGGAGTGGCCGCTGTGGAGCAGAGCGCACCACCCCTTAGCTCTGCTGCTTCCTGTGGGCCCTGAGTCTCAGCCCCTGCGCTCACCAGGAAATGCACTCTGGGTGGACCTGGTCCCCTCTGCCATCCCTCCTCCTGCAGGTTCCCAGTTGAATGCAAAGACAGAGAGAACCCATAACAAAGGCCACTGTTTTTGTTTTTAAAGATTTATTTATTTATTTAAAAAGGAGAGAGAGAGAGAGAGAGAGAGAGAGGTCTTCCATCTGCTGGTTCACTCCCCAAATGTCTGCATAGGCCAGAGCTGGGCCGATCTGAAGCCAGGAGCTTCTTTCAGGTGTTGCACATGGGTACGGCCCTTGGGCCATCTTCCACCACATTTGCAGGCACACTAGCAGGGAGCCGGGTCAGAAGTGGAGCAGCTGGGACTCGAACCAGCTCCAATATTTATCCCTAATGGGCATGGAGCCTGGGACTGGACCAGGACAGCACCAGGCAACTCCACGCTGTCAGCTGCCTGCCAGGTTCCATCGCAGTCCCCGGGGAGGAGGGACAGGGGACAACTGGGTCTTCCCTTGAGGGCTCGTCCCTTGGTCACTGTGACAAACTTCCCCAGGACTCCAGCTCACAGGAAGTGGATTTGGGATTCTGCTTCGGGTGTCCCCCAAGCTCCGCGCTGAGGGAAGGCCCTCAGGACGTCCAGGGTTGGGCCGCCAGCCCCATCCCAGTCGGGCTGTGTCTCCATTTTGGTTGTCACTTCTGGCAGCTGCACCTCTGCTCATCTTCTGTCTTTTTCTGAGACTGGTACAGAAGACATCTATCCATAGTCACTGACAACACGCCCCACGGTCCCGCTACCCTGGCCCCTGGAGCCTGTAGGGCAGCAGTGAATGACACTGACCCAGCAGATGCGTGGCAAACAGAATTGAAAGATACATTCATTGTGGTGTAAACGATTTTTGGAATCCACAACAGAGGAGGGGTCTTCAAGGAGTTTATGGAGAATGTATATTATGAAAAAATACTGCATGGATAGCCAATTTCATTTTTGCACCAAAATAAACTTAACATCGACTTTCATTTTGCCAGAAGCTTTTTGAATGTCCTCCTCTGTGCTCGGCATTCTATTCCCAGCGCTGTTGGAAGATGAAACGTGAGCTCCCCTTGCTTTCAGGTGTATGCGTGCGTGAGTGTGCATGCAGGCGTGTGTTGCACACGGGGCACACATGTGTGCATGTTTGCACTTGTGTGCATGTGCACATACATGCATGTGTGCATGAATGTGCTTGCACATGGGTGCATGTGTATATGCTTGCACATGCGTGTACATGTGTGCATATGCATGTATGTGAGGTGCACATGTGTGTGTGTGTGATGCTGTTTGCTCCTTTTGTCTCCATATCCACCCTATACTTTGAGGGAAAAGCTCACCACGGTGCTGTGCTTCCCCCTCTAGGGTCACAAAATAACTGGAGAGAGAGCTTTGCAGCTGAAGCCGGTCGAGAAGTCGTGCGTGTGACCCTGAGGCGCGATCCACTCCGTGGTTTCGGTAAGGGGACTCCCAGGAGGTGAGGCCCAGCTTGTCCCCCTGGGCAGGGGTGGGGGCTGCTTTTCCACTTTCATGTTTCTCACCCCCTTCCCTGCCCTGCTCTCCCAATTTGCCCTTTCCAGCCATTGCTTGTGCTTTCCCCTCCCTTTAAGTGTTTAGAAAGAGCATTGAGACCCGGGGGTGCTTCCCTTGTAGGACTGATACCATTTTGGGATGCATCTAAGCACAAGGTAGAAAAAGATTTATTTTCCTAACACCACATGACAAAGTTGGTTTTTAAAAATTTATTTTACATATGTGAAAGGCAGAGGGACAAAGAGAGAGGGAAGGAGGGAAGGTGGAAAGGGGAGAGAGAGAGAGACAGAGAGAGAGAGAGAAAGGTCTTCCTTTTTCCGTTGGTTCACCCCCCAAGTGGCCGCTACGGCCGGTGCCCTGCGGCCGGCATGCTGCGCCAATCCGAAGCCAGGAGCCAGGTGCTTCTCCTGGCCTCCCATGCGGGTGCAGGGCCCAAGGACCTGGGCCATCCTCCACTGCACTCCCTGGCCACAGCAGAGAGCTGGACTGAAAGAGGGGCAACCGGGACAGAATCTGGCGCCCCAACCGGGACTAGAACCCTGGGTGCCGACGCTGCAGGTGGAGGATTAGCCTAGTGAGCTGCAGCGGCGGCCTCCCCAAATAGTTTCAATGGCCAGGACTGAGCCAGGCCGAAGCCAGGAGCCTGGAACTCCCTCTGGGTCTCCCACGTGGGTGGCAGGGGCTCAAGTCCTTGGGCCATCACTGCTGCCTTCCCTCCCTCATTAGCAGGAGCTGGATCAGAAGTGGAGTGGTCAGAATGGAACCGGTGCTTCACTGTAGGAGGCCGGCATCACAGGCTGAAGGCAGTGGCTTCACTCACTGACACACCACGCTGGCCCCACCTTTCATATAGAGAGCACTTCGGAAAGCCTATGGAAAAATAAACTTTATTTTGGTGCCAAAAATTCTGAAATCCCTGCCCAGTGTTCCTAGGCACCTTCGTGTATAGCTTTTTAGTGGCAGGCGGAAATGGTCTGACCAGGTTTTAAGATTCTTAAAACCACTTATGAAACAAAATACAAGATAGGGGGTTGACTCAAAGTCATCTCTTTCGGGACCAGCATTGTGTCATTGTGGGTTAAGCTGCCTCACAGCTCAGAGAGGTTAGGTTGTTTGCTTGAGCTCACACAGCGACTCAGAGGCATTTCTGACGTTTGCCCCATGGTCTGCTGGTCTTCAGAGCTCCTTTGCACTCCACCAAGACACAACAGAGAAGAGGGGTTGCTCCCCCTTAGTAAACAGCTAAACTTGGCGTGCAGCCCACCAATGTGCCCTGCTTTTGCTCCAGGAGATAATCAGAGCCAGGACAGAGATGACTTAAACAAAACGCTTATGTTTCTCTACTTGCAAGGCAGAGTGACAGAGCTGGTGGCAGGGAGAGAGAGAGAGAAAAGAAATCTCACATCTGCTGTTCACTCCCCAAATGGCTGCAATGACTAGGGGTAGGCCTGGCTGAAGCCAGGAGCCTGGGCCTCCATCCAGGTCTCCCACGTGGGTGCAGGTGCCCAAGGACTTGGGGCATCTTCTGCTGCTCTCCCAGGCACATTAGCAGGGAGCTGGACCAGAAGCGGAGCAGCCAGGACTTGAACCATCACCCAAGCAAACAGCCTAATCTCTCTGGGCTGTGAAATCATCAAGGGTCATCTCACCATGCCGTGCTGTTTTGGGCCGCAGGTTTCGTCATTAAGGAGGGAGAAGACATGGGCCAGGCCAACCCTGGCATTTTTGTATCTGCTATTATCCCAGGGGGACCAGCAGAAAAAGCAAAAACGATCAAACCAGGTAGGCATTCTCCAGCTGCCAGAGATGCTGCTCCATCTGCCTTCCTCGCTGGGCTATTGACGTGATTTACTTTTCCAGGTGGGCAGATACTGGCCTTGAATCGCATCCATCTGCAGGGTTTCACGTTCAACATGGCGGTTAGAATGATTCAGAATTCTCCCGACACCATCGAATTGATCATCTCTCAGTGTAAAGGTACGTCTTTCCCCGCGGGCGGGAGCCGAAGCGCCGCTCCGGTCTTTAGGAGTTCATTCATGGGCCGCTGGGTCTGTAAGTGGGCGGAGATCTTTTGTATCGCTCGCTCTCCTTGTGGTAGTTGACAACGTACTGGCACGAATCACCGCACTGTGCAACTGCAGGGGCGGGAGACGCTCTGTAGTCCCAAGTCCCCCTGAAAGGCGACATCTACTCTCATTGTTTCTTAGCTTGGCCGATTACACCCAGTGTGCGCTGTTCCGCCCACTCTCCTTGTGAGACAGGGGATGGCGTTCTGATGGACACTGAAGCCTTGATTGAAAGTGGCTGCTCCAGGGCCTCTGCATAGCCTGGGCTTAGGGGTGGCCACTGCTTCAGTAGCTGGGAGTGTGACAGGGAAGTGATTTTTGAGGTACATTTGCAGAGCTGGCCTGCTGTTCCTACTTGGGGTGTGTGTGTGTGTGTGTGTGTGTGTGTGTGAGTGACAGAACAACCAAAGGACAAAGGTTTTACTTGTTTAAGATGCATTTCTGCATCTTTTCACTAAGACGGCGAGAACAACAGCGTATGTCAAAGAACAGTATCTGTAGGTTTCTCTGGGGCAGGTCGGGGAGTTTGACGGGCTCAAGGAGAGAAGGCTGACCTCCTCCCTCACTGGTCAGCAATGACCATTGCTGCTGTGCGTTTGGATGACCTTGTAGGTTCACCACAGACGCTCTGCAAGTTCAGGGTCGTGGGCTGCGTCTTCCCATTCCAGGGACGTGGTGCGGTTTTTCCCTTACGTGGTAAAGTGCTTTGCCTCACGCCGGCCTGAGATGCTGCCTGTGCATTTGCCTTGCCTGCTAAAGACCATGCACTCTCCCTTGATTGTGTACATTCTCATTAGGGGCCTTTCCAGGGCTTCATAGCTGTCTCGTCCCAGAAGCCATGGTGGAGGGTGGGAAGTGACCATGCTGGGACCTCAGCCATGTGCCTTTCATCCTGTGGTCGTAGCTGCCCCCGGGGCTGGCCCTAGCAGGTCCGCAGTGCCCCCCTCTCCCCCCCCCCCCCCCAGCTCGCTGTCTCCGAAAGATTTCGCTGCATTGTCACTCTTCTTCCCAGGGTTTTTCAGCAGCCCCTGCCTTTTCCTCCACGTTCTCCCCTCGAGGAGCAGTCAAACCACCCCTTTTGTTGCCAGGAAACACAATGCAGCCGATCAGTTCAGCACAGGTCTGGTTCACCTGCTGTGAGGGTGGAGGGGCTGCTTCAGAACCGGCCCCTGGTAGTGGGCGTCCAGTGTCCACTTGGGAGGCTGGGTCTCTGTAGGCACAGACTTGGCCACCACAAATTTCTCTCTGGTCAGGCTGCAGTTGAGGGAGCCAGGCTAGACCGAAGGTCAGAGGCTAGACAGATAACATGCCATCATGGTCTAGGATAAACCGAGTTTCACTTGCCCCACAGAAGTCTCCTAGCTAACTAAGATTTCTATTAGGCAGGGCGCGAGTTGCACAACCTGAGTTGTCGATTTAATTCTCAGTCCCACCTTCTCTCTCATGGATGATGTGGAAGAAAACGAGCAGATGCTTGCAATATTGCCAAAAGTAGACACTTGAATTAAGTGATCAGGATGCGGCACCAGGAAGCAGTGACCTCTCCAGTTCCTACTGACTCCTTTACATTTGAGTAACTTGAAATCAAATGTAGTCAACGTGTGAGCTTCTACACTTCCCTGAGCACCAATGAATTTGTATCAAAGCAGTAAATCTACCTCCGTCTTCGAGGTCCTATTATGTACTAAGCTTGCTTTATCTATTTATGCATCTATCATCTATCTGTACTTTTATCGCTCTCATGTACTTAAAACCTCTCAGCCTCACAGACTCTGCAATATTCACGTTGGTATTTGCATTAGTCGGATTTTTCTGACATAAAGAATATATCTGGGAGTGGATGCTTAGGGAAGGAGGATTATTCCAGCTTCCAGTTTTAGAGGCTCACACTTCAAGAATGGGGAGCCCCACCCCCGATGAGGATGATGGGTGCTGGAATGTAGGCTGAGGGAGGCTTGTCTGGCTAGCCAGCAAGCAGAGAGAGAGAGAGAACAGCTGGGCCAAACTCAGCTCATATCACCAACCTTCTCATGACACCATCATCCAAAGGTGTCCATAGCCCCGACACCTAAAGACCTCCCTGTAAGCCCATGTCTCAGATGTCATAAATAAATCAAATCTCCATCCTTAAGTAATTAACCATTAGCACAAGACTTTGGGGATCAAACCCCCAATGCGTGGGCTCTTGGGGACATCCAAACTATTGCCCAGAACGTAACATTATTATCTCCATTCCAGATATAAGAACATTGAAAACCAGAATGTTATGTATCTTGCCCAGGGTTTCACCTGTTGATTCCCAACCTCATGTCTTTTCTCTGTCCAGATCCATTCTCAGACACGGGTGAAGCGGGCATCAGCGGCCCAGTCAAAACCTATAGTCTGGATATTACAGGTTCCCCCAAAGAACCTGACACACTGATCACAGATGTGCTTGGTGGGGACTGTGAGAGGGAGCATTGCCATGTACTTGTGACAGTATTCGTGGTGAGCTGCTTAATCATTTTGATTCAGATCTCTCTGGTTTGAATGGCAGTAACATTTTCCTTGTGGGTCTGATAAGAAGAACTGTCGTCTGTCTATCTACCAAGTCTATTTTCATCTGTCTATCTATCACCCATATATGATCATCTATATCAATTATCTATGTATCATCTATCATCTCTATAGATTATCTACATATCACCTACATATTATCTACATATCTAACATCTGTGTATCTATGTATGTATCTGTCTGTCTGTATCATCATGCCAAACACATGGCAAGAGCTTACTAAGGGAGAGCCAGAATTATTCACTCTCCACGGCCCTGAGCTTTCTCAGTTGGATCACACCAGCTCCATTTAGGTTCCTAAATCACACCCTGGGTCCTCATTTTCTCTATGGCAAATGCAGCATCCTTCCATGAGATGTTAAAGTCACATCATTCTGGCCAGCGCTGTGGAGTAGCAGGTGAAGCTGCCGCCTGCAGTGCCGGCATCCCTTATAGGCTTTGCCTTGACATCTGACTGCTCCACTTCCGATCCAGCTCTCTGCTATGGCCTGGGAAAGCAGTAGAGGATGGCCCAAGTCCTTGGGCTCCTGCACCTGCATGAGAGACCCAGAGGAAGCTCCTGGCTCCTGGCTCCGGATCGGCACAGCTCCAGCTGTTATGGCCAATTGGGGAATGAACCGACAGATGGAAGACTTCTCTCTCTGCCTCTCCTTCTCTCTCTGTGTTACTCTGACTTTCAAATAAATAATAGACACATCATTCCTAGTGGTGTAAAAGGTCTTTCTGTCACTGGAGAAAAACTCTGTGCCCCTCCTGGAGAAGCCACCAAGATGCCAGCCCCTCCAAGCTGTTGACTTCTGGGCTTGTTTTCACAGGTGTTTGCAGAAATACCCCCGGCGAAGAAAAGAATAGCACAGCTGATTCTGCCATCTTTTCTACAGACTTCCTGAGCAACAGGCACCAGGGACGGTTGCTGTCACACTCACGAGATCAGACCAGAAATGTTGGCGAACTGGAAATAGCGCAGGTGCAGAGTTCCATGTCCAGGCTGGGGTCTCAGCTCTCATCTCTGCCAGTGAAGGTAGTCATCCCCTTGGCTGTCTTCCTAGAAGCTGGAGGAGAGAAGAGGTTGTGGGGCCCAGCAGCCCAGCTCCCAGGTCCTTCCTTGCTCTCTGTGTGCAGTGTCTGCTGGCAGGGTTGCTCACCTGCTTGGCCCTCAACTTGCTCAGCTGTAACTTTACGGAAGTGAATGCCTGCATTGCGTGGTTGCTAGGAAGAAGATAAAGAAGAAAAGGGAGAACTCCTCGCAGTGTCTGGGTCACAGGGCCCATATAGGAGTCTCCAGAATCCTTAGTCACTGCATAACCCGTATCCCTGGGGGCTCTGTTCCAAGACCCTCGAATGAATGCCTAAAAAACTCAGATAATACCCAACCCTATGTACACCTTCTATTTCCTGTACATACGTGGTTATGAGCAAGTTTAATTTATAAATTAAATACAGTAAGAGTTCAACAATAACAACTAGTAAAACATAGCAGTGACAACAATATAATGAACCTTATGAACCATTTCCTTCTGGAATTTTCCATTGAATACTTTTGCACTGTTGTTGACTGTGGATAACTGAAGCTGTGGCTAAGGGGAGACTACTGTAATTACAGTTGTTTCTGGCACTGAAATCTGTGGAGACTGAGGCCTGGGCAATGAAGCATCTTGTATTCTTGGCCTCTGTGGGTCCTCCTGCCATCTCAGTGGTTTTGCTCTTGACCAGCACTCTATGGAGGAAGAAGATCAAGTCTGGCCTTGGTGTGCTGAGGACCATGTGCTTTGTTCAGCCCCAGCTCAGCTGTCCCCCGGCTGTCCCCTTGGGTACCAGGTGGGACTGTCTCTCTTGGTGCCTCCTATCAGGGAGTCTTTGCCACAGAACAGCATCGTGGGCCACCCCCTCCTCCTGACCCTCAGCCCCGGGCTGGGAGAAGCTCTCACTGTTTCAGCTGCTTCTGACTTGTTCCCCTAAAGGCTGCCAGTGCCCTTGAACACAGGCTCTGCATAGATTCTTCTCCCTCATCCAGGTTGAGCACCTTCTTATTCCGGCTGGGACTGTGGTTGACACAGGCAAGCTCTCCCACCCCTCTGAAATTCATCTCTCTTTTTCTTTTCTTGTGATTGGAAGATTGATGCCTGTCTACAGAGCCATGGTGACGATAATGCTATGCTTGGGTAGAATTGGAAAAATATCCTTTCCTTTCAGTCACTCTGGGCTCCTTGGCTGGGGGGGCCTGGAACAAAAGGCAGATTAACAAGAGAAAAGCGTACACATTGGTTGATGTGTGTCATGTGAACTTTGATAAGGAACTGAAGACCTGAAGAAACAGTTCCACCTGAGTGTGACTTACAGTAGGTTTGACGCCCAATGGGAAATCGTGGAGACATGTGATAGGACAGACTGTGAGCAAGCTGGGGACACTGAGCAGGGCCTGTTTGTCCAGAGTCCCTTCTGGGTCCCTTGTGTGCAGGGATTTGGATGTTCCTGTCCTCCAGGTTCAGGAAAGACATCTCTCACCTGATGAGAGGGTCTGGTGCTCAGCTTTAGGGGGAGATCAGAAAATCCTTCCTAGACTTCTGATCGGCTCCAGGGGAGGAGGGCAGTAGAAGTTCAGAGAGTCCTTCCAGAACATTCTGCTTCTCAAGTCCCCCCTCCCCTTGAAATACTCAACAGACCAAGGTGTCCTGCTCTTTTGAGTCATTCTGCCCTGAACTCCATCACCTGGTATGCCATAGGGTTCTATGGATGTTTGTTCCTTCCTGTTGGCCAAGGCAATCACTCAGACAGGGCCTGCCAGGAAGAACTGGACTCAGGGCTTGGCATGAGTCATGATACTAGCTGACACCTACCGAGTATTAACTTTGGGCTCAGGCTTTGTCCAGATCACTTTGTGCATTGTTGAGGTGAATTCGTTCTGAGAGGAGGAGCGCAGTGGGGACAAGAGGCACAGAGTCACCACACAGACTCCGGGAGCTGGGTGAAAGCAGGCCAGAGGCGAGCAGCCCGCAGACTCATTTATTTTAGTTGGTACAGCAGCTTATATAGCCAAGGCAGCCAATCCAGTCAAGGGGCACTCTATGCCCTAACCAATCACAGCCTGTTGCCAGGCAGGCTCCATTGCCATGTGGTTTCCAAAGCCATCCAATCGCAGCCTGTTGCCAGGCAGGCTCCATTGCCAGATGGGTTTCGAAGCCATTCCTGAGTAACTGATGCTCACTTGCCAGCGGCCATCTTGGCATGGCCTTCTCATTCCACCACAGTGTGTGATATCTCTGAATGCTTCATGACAGTCCTATGAGATAATTGCTATCATCAACCTGTTTTGTAAGCAGGATGACTGAGGCACTGAGAAGAAAGGACCATGCCAAGATCTCTTAGGGCGTGGGCAGCAGAGCTGGCACTGGACTCCAAGGAGTTGGACTCCAGAATGGAAACCTTCACTCCTGAGCTGCTCTTTGGAGTGGCCCCTTGGGCAAGAAGTAGGGCAGAGAGGGCCTGATCCAGACTGGGGCCTCTGTTGCTGTGAGCCTGTGAAGGATTTCTGGGAGGCTGTTGAAAGGAGGGATGGTGTTCTGAGGCCACAGTTGAGCCCAGCACAGGCTGTGGGACCTGTGCCATCTGGCTTCTGTGGGTCATTTGGCCAACTTTGTGTCCAGGTCAACTTCTATGGCCTGCTGGAGTTTGGAATCTCACTTTGAGTCTTCCATTCTTTGAATTTCCATGTCCAGACAAGACATCCTGCCAGATCAAAGACAGTGGGGTCTCTGAAATACTGGGGCTCTGTCTGCTGCTACAACCAACTCTTTGGAGCCCTTTGTGTTGGACTGGTGATTTTCCAGTTTCCTTCAGCTTGCTTAGTTTCCTCTGTATTCATAGGATTTTCCAACATGGTGGCCAGGTAACACTAAGCAGAGGGGCAGAAGACTGGGAATATCATGGCTCCATCTTCTGGGTGCAGTGACTAGTGGAACATGAGCAGGACTGGGGATGCTCTGTCTGGAAGCAATGGTCAGCCCAGTTCAGCATATCCTCGGCTTCTTCCTTCCCTGCCCATTACTTGCTGAGACACCATTCACTAACATCTGGGTTCACATTCTGGTTCTTCCCCTTCTTGGTGCATCTCTGATCTTCTGGGTGGTAACGTGCACTTTACCACATTCACTCTTACTATTACGGTGGTTATTGGTTAGTTGGTTGGGGATCTCCATGTCGAAAGTCTCTCTTCTGCAAGAGAGTAGCTCAACTTGGGCAGGTCTGTTTTATCACTGCCAACTCCTCAGCAAACTGCACAGTGCCATGTCTTCATTCATTTTCTGCTATGTTATATGCATTTCTACATGTTATAATGGCATACCACAGCCTGGGTGGATTCGAAGCAATAGGAGTTGAGTTGACCTCTGGTTCTGGAGGCTGGAGAGTTGAAGATCAAAGGACAATATCGAGTGAGAGCCCTCCTGCTATGTCAGAACATGGCGAGAGGGTAACCCATCCCTGTGATAACTACAGTCTGAATCCATGCCCGAGGGAAGTGTCCCCATGACCCACACACTCTTTCGAGGTTCTACCTCTCGATGGCATCCCAGTGGCAGTTACATTTCAACATGAGTTTAGAGAAGATCTTGAAACCATAGCAACCTGAGATGTAACAGGTGCACAGCCAATGTTGTTGTATGATTGGGTGAATGAATGAGCACGTTGTCCATGGGCACGCTCATAGCACCAAGCAGAGTGCTTGACACGTGGCAGATAATTTTCCTCTCTGCCCCTCCCCAAAGGGCTCAATCATTGTAGGTGAAGACCCAGTACAGCCACCCTTGCTAGAAATGACCAAAAGTCCTCCTAATGTTTTCTTCCACCTCAATCAACTGTGCATGCTATACCCAGCATGCCATCACTTGGCAGTCAGAGGAGAAGCTACCAGAAAGTACCTGGGTGGCTTCAGTCCTAACATGGGTGTCTGCACCGTGCGTGGAAATAAAACCCACATTTATGGAATCCTTGAGCTGGGCACTTGGCAGTCACACACTAGGAGGGAATCTCTCACAGCAGTTCTCTGGGTCGGGAAGCTGAGGCTGCAGAGACGTGGAGACTTGTCCAAGGCCACAGGGGGAGGGACTGATAAAGCTGAGGGTGCTCCTGGTGGCCCAGCCTGGGAGCTAGGTGTGGTGCTGTTTGCTTGCTCCGTGTAGCAGGGGAGAACTAAGGGGTGCCATCTACTGGAATAGGGTGGAGAGCCTCATGCCTTCTTTATTTCTGTGTGTGTCTGGGGCAGGGTGCCGGTTCCTCTCGTTCTCCATCACCTTCAGAAACAAGTGCTGGTGGAATCTACTTCGTGGAGCTGGTGAAAGAAGATGGGACCCTTGGATTCAGCGTGACTGTAAGACTTGCTAGGAGGAAAGAGTTGGAAGATGCCCATGCGGAGCCTTGGTGGGCATCCCGCTCTGCCAGCATGCTCATTGTAGACAAGGGGTACCCAGGAAGTGGAGGACCCAGGCAAGTCAGTGGGACCTGTTGTGGGATCATCGCACTGGGAGACCCAGGGCAACGTTGGGCTGAGCAGGCGCAGGTGCAAGAGAACCCAAGCCATGTGAGGAGACAAGAGTGTGGGTGGAGTCTCTGCACAGTAAGAAGGCAGCAGCCTGTGGCATCGGGGACATCAGCCCACAGCAAATGGGGTAATCCAAAAATTCCAGACGCCAAGACCAGCACTTTGCTTTCGCTCTCCGAGCTCTGTGTGGTAGACCGCTGGTGGGGAAGATTGCCTGTGTCGCTGTGATTGCTCAAGGGTTTATGGGAATAGCACAACTCCAAGGTCAGACGTTGGAAGGTATTGCTTTTTTTTTTTTTAAAGATTTATTTATTTATTTGAAAGAGTTACAGAGAGGCAGAGGGAGAGAGAGAGAGAGAGTGAGATATCTTCCATTCACTGATTCACTCCCCAGATGGCCACAATGGCTGGAGCTGTGCTGATCTGAAGCAAGTAGCTGAGTTTCTTCCAGATCTCCCACGTGGGTGCAGGGGCCCAAGGACCTGGGGCTCTTCCACTGCTTTCCCAGGCCATAGCAGAGAGCTGGATTGGAAGTGGAGCAGCTGGGACTAGAACTAGCGCCCATATGGGATGCTGGCACTGCATCCCATGGTGGCTTTACCTGCTATGCCACAGCATTGGCCCTGGTGTTGCTTTTTTTTTTTTTTTTTAAGATTTATTTATTTATTTGAAAGTTGGAGTTACAGAGAGAGAAGGAGAGGCAGAGAGAGAGAGAGAGAGAGAGGGAGAGAGAGAGAGAGTTCTTCCATCCTCTGGTTCACTCCCCAATTGGCCACAATGGCCAGAGCTGCGCTGATCTGAAGCCAGGAGCCAGGAGCTTCTTCCAGGTCTCTCATGTGGGTGCAGGGGCTCAAGCACTTGGGCCATCTTCCACTGCTTTCCCAGGCCATAGCAGAGAGCTGGATTGGAAGTGGAGCAGCCGGGTCTCGAACCGGTGCCCATATGGGATGCCGGTGCTTCAGGCCAGGATGTGAACCCGCTGCGCCACAGTGCTGGTCCCCGGTGTTGCTTTTTATAACTGAGCATTGAAAGTTAACCTTGAGGTCCTTGAATGGGTCTAGACTTTAGACATGTCATTGTTGCATTCAATTGTTGAGTGGAAACACAATGGGTTTCCTAGCAGGGAAGGAAATGCCATGAACAAAGAAAACCTCCAAAGGAAACCCGAGAGAGGAGTGAGTGAGTCGCTCTTTGCTCTCCTACCTGATGGTGTTCTTACTCAGGGATCCCTGGATCGCCGCACCATCGGCCTGCCATGAACCTGTCATCAGTAGATGATTTTAAGGAAGCAAGTAAGAAACAGACAGATAAGGCTCATGAGTCCACGTGAACAGTCTGGTACCAAGTATGGTCAATTTATTCTTGGCTTGGGATAACGATCCGATCAGACACCAAACATAGCAATCTCTCGTCTGAAAAACTTGCTAAGTGTGGGATTATTCATGTGTAGATTATTCATATACCGAGAGGAGGTTGGTGATTTCCTTTGGCTGGCAAGAAACTGTGATTTTCCTTGGGGGAATTGAGTTTCAAAAATAATTCTTGAAACGGCTTGTTCAAATCCAAATGGCCATTAAAGGAACAAAAGCACTAAAACCCAGGAAAAGCTGGAAGACTCCACAAATGAGGTTGAAATGAAAATTTTTAACTTTATATCCATGCGCTTGGCCAAATATAACCGATGGAATGCAAAGACAGGGCGCTCTTACACAAAGCTTGGAGAAGTGTGAGCAATTAAATGAGTATTCACATTCGGTTAGGCGGTGCCATCTGCTAACGTCCATTACAATGAAGCACATGCTTGGCCTTGGCCCACAGAAATACAGGGGTCCTTCCGACAGTCCACAGAAAATGGCATTTAAATGGAAATTTACTTTGGTCCCAAAAAACAGTTGAAATCCATGCATATGAAGGGTCTTTGGAAAGTTCATGGCAAATGCATATCATGAAAAACCATAGCTTGATTTCAGTTTTTTAAACAAAATAAACATCTTTAAATTTCATTTTTCTACCAACCTTTTTTTTTTTTTAAAAAAAGATGTATTTTATTTACTTGAAAAGTAGAGTTAGAGAGAGAGGGAGAGACAGAGAGAGAAAGAGATCTTTCATCCGCAGCTTCACCCCCTCCCCCAATAAATATATGTAAATACACACCCATACATAGCCAGAAATATGGTGGCCTGTTATTTGGTACATAGATATTTATAACTGCTATCTTTGCCATGTTACAACCCTTACATATTAATATTCCCCTTTACCCTCATTTTATGATGTCTGCCTTGAACTCCATGTTATATGGAGTTATATAAACACACATGTGTGTATATATGGAGTTATATAAACACCTTTCTGGGACCAGTGCCATGGTGCAGTAGGTTAATCCTCCGCCTGCGGTGCTGGCAACCCATGTGGGTGCCAGTTCTAGTCCCGGCTGCTCCTCTCTCAATCCAGCTCTCTGCTATGGCCTGGGAAAGCAGTGGAAGATGGCCTAAGTCCTTGGGTCCCTGCACCCAGATGGGAGACCCCAAAGAAGCTCCTGGCTCCTGGCTTTGGATCGGCACAGTTCCAGCTGTTGCAGCCATTTGGGGAGTGAACCAACGGAGGGAAGACCTTTCTCTCTGTCTCTCCCTCTCACTGTCTGTAACACTACCTCTCAAATAAATAAATAAAATCTTTAAAAAAAGAGCACGCCCTTGCTTTTTCTGTTTGTTTTTCCCTGGCTTATAGCTAATTCTCAAACTTTTCCCCAAAATAAAGAAATTCACTTTCACGGACAAAGAAATCCACAGGCTTCAGGGTCACTCGGTTGCTGGCTTGGGTGCCCATCTTGAAGCTTAGCCAGCCTTTTCTTTAGCCTTCTCTAGGGGATGTCGTGAGCACAGAGAGACGTGTGGAAGGAGCTGTGGATACACACCCGGTTCTGAGCAGTTGTCAGTGTGTTACCTGTGCTGGGGTTGGGTGGTGGTGGCAGACATGAGTAAAGAGGCGAGCATTCGTGAAGGAGGAGGTTCAAAGAGACCACAGAAATGAAATGGTGCCATTGGTGTGCAAATCTGTCTATAGGGTGTATGCATGCACACGGTAAATTGGAAGAAAAACATAGTTGGATCTTGATCCACGGCGATAAAGGAAGTGAGCTGTGACTCCATTTTGTGACTGATATAGTCATCTCTCAGATCTGCAGGGGGTTAGGACTCTCGTGGGCACCCAAATCTTCTGATGCTCAAGCGCCTTATATAAAGTGGCAGTCTTTGCACAGAACCTGCAGGGTCCTCCTGTACACGTTAAATCATCTTTAGATGACTGTCGAAACCTAAAACAACGCCAGTGCTATGTACGCGTTTGTGGTACTGTATTGCTTGGGGGATAATGATGAGAAGGGAAGTGTGTGTGTGTTCATTTTAAAAGATGTGTTCCATCTGCGGTCGTTTGAATCCACAGACGGAGCACCTGCAGAGCCCGAGGGCGGATCGGGTTGTCACACTCCGCGTACACACCCAACTTCACGGCTCAGCAGAGAACAGTCTAAACAAATGAATACAGATGCATCAGACAGAGATGGCACATCGGCACAGCCGATGGATGGGGGAGGCTCCTTAGCCAGGAAGGTTGGAGAGCGGCCCCCTCCTTGCCCGGGAGGGAGCAAACAGGTGGTGAATTTTTCCTTTTGTGTTCCCCCTAGGGTGGCGTTAACACAAGTGCACTCTACGGAGGCATCTACGTGAAATCCATCATTCCCGGGGGACCTGCTGACAAGGAAGGGCAGATCCTGCAGGGTGAGGCTGACGTGGTGGTGCGCGTGCTGGCGGGGAGCTCCGTGCAAAGACCCTGGACCGGGGGTGGGTCCTCCGACCCACAGCCTCTGACCTTGCCCCGCCCCTCACTCTACACTTCAGGTCCGATGTGGGTGACAGTCCTTTGGGAAGCATAAGGTGATAGGGAGAGAGAAGGTGAGAGATGCAAAAGACGCTCGAGTGTTCCTGTTTGGCCTTCATGGGACAGAGTCTTGCTTTCCTTAGAACGCAGAGCTGGCATTGGGTCCCCGTCTGTGGAGGGCGTGCATGCTGGCGAGTCTTCTCTCTGCCCTGCCTCCTGTCTCACTGCTCAGAAGGATGGCTTTTTACTGTTCTCCTAAACGGTCCTATTTGAGCCCAAAACGATACCTGAGATTTCTCATATATCTCTGTTTCCTCTGAAATTCCAGTGTCCTGATCTTTTTTTGAAATTAAAAAAAAATCCCTAGAGATATAAATATTACCCCACAACAACTTGAAAATACTTTCAAAAAAACATTTCACGGGAAAACAGGAGGAAGGCTCCGTTTGACCAGTGCTGGTTCAACCACACTGTGAGCCAATAATAGAAAGGCTTTGATAGCATCAGTCTGATGTCTGTCTCAGGAGGCAGGGAGCATGCTCGGAGAGGTGGCCGCCTTCAGGCTCAGGCCGGCCGCTGCTAACTCTGCAGGGACACCTGCACCTCTGTGTCCTGCCCCCTTTCCTCCAGGCCACCCAGAGGGTGCTGGGCAGGGTGCTGTCCACAGGGTCCTTCCTGCAGCCCCACAAGCTCAAGACTTAACACGCATCCGCTTCCCAGGTGACCGGCTCCTGCAGGTGGATGGCGTGAGTCTGTGTGGCCTCACCCACAAGCAGGCTGTGCAGTGCCTCAAGGGCCCTGGCCAGGTGAGTGTTCCCTTCCTTCTAGAGCTTTCCAGAACATCAGAATCTACAGGTGCGCCAGGTGGGAGGAGGCAACGTTTCTTCTCTGTTTTATTCCCTTTCTCTTCTTCCTCTTCTTTTGCTTTCCTGTGGGAATGGGAAATGCAGGAGGCATCACCCAGATGTTTCCAAGCAGAAAGCCTCACCCCCTATAAATAGCCTTGACGAGCCTGCTTGTTGCCTGCCTAGATCCCGGAATCAGACAGCAGAACAGAGCTGAGAGACGGAGACGGTGACGTCTCCAGCCCGGCCCTGGTGGCGCCCCCCACACCCTGCTCCAGCCCAGCCGATCAGAGTGTCCATCTGCTCTCAGGCCCTTTCACCTCCCTGCCTCTGGCCACGGTGACCCTCATCCCACCCCGCCAGCTCATGCTGTTCCCCATCACCCTGAGTTTCCACCTGCTAGGGCCTGGGTGGGCTTTCCTGGGATTCTTTTTATCTCAATGGTATAGAGATCCGGGATGCCAGAGGCATCCACCCATTGTATACTGTGTCCCCTGTGGTGCCCACCCAGGCATGTCTGCACGCTGCGTGTGGTCCTCTATCTGAGCGTGAGAGCCTTTAATCGCCCCAGTGTCCTGAGCCACAGAGCTGGCATCACCCCCTCTTGCTAACCCAGCAGTCAGCAGAGACAGCAGGAGTGACGGAGGGCGCTTCCAGCCAAGGTCAGGTTCTGGCCTCCTTTGGCTTCCTCCGTTTGCAGTGGAGATTGCTTTTATGCGTGGCCTTGATTGACAGGCCTTGAGAACAGTTCTTCAGACCTTTGCTGATGAACTTGGTTCGGGAGGGCCCTGGCATGACCTGCTGGCGGCGATGACAAGTAGGGATTGTCACTCCAGTCTCAGGCCTGGTGCTGACTGACAATGGCGGCAGAAGGCAGGAGGCTGGGCCAAGTCTTCTGCAGGGAAGCCTGGTGTTTCTGAAAAGCTTCCAGGTGACATCTGGCCGCTGGTTCTGGAAACACGCGTTGAGTGACAAGGGCACCCAGCGTAGTGGGGAAGAAGGGCGGGGCATCAAAGCAGAGAGGGAGGAGGAGGTGGACTGGCAATAGGCCTGGGATGCTGTGCTATGGGCATGGGTTATGGATGATGCAAAACATTGGAGGTTTTTCCTCAAGGGTGCGGCATGTCCAGTGTCTGCATCAGACCAGTCCATTGGCAGCCACGGTGGGGTGGGCCAACAGAGGTGGGGACAGTGTGGTCCAGTAAACCAAGTTACCTGGAGCTTGCTGTGGTCCTGCTGGGCACTGGGAGAGGGAACCTGTTTCTACTGGGAAGCTTGCAAGCTTAGACACCAGATGGGTCCTGGCAGGGCAGAGCGGGGAGAGCTGGACCCATCTGTGGGTGGCCCCTGGGAGGCCAATGGGGGAGAGGTTCTGTGTTCCCAGGGACAAATGCGAGGGGAAGAATGTTTTAGTGAGAACCAGGAGGAGGAGAAGCGATGGGGAGTGAGGGGAGCAGAGGAGGCTGGCACTGCCTGTGCCGAACTGGGGGTACATGTGTTCCCTCCAGGTGCACGTGTGCAAGACAAGTGCCAGTAAAAACTCTGGATCCCAACACACAGGAGAATCTGGAGATTTCGCTTTGAGATTCAAATGAAGCAGCTTCCTGGAAGCCTCAGAGACTCAGGAAGCATTTGCAGGGTGGCGTGGAGGGCGTGCCTCCTGCCTGCCATCTGCAATGTGAACTGAGTCTGTGCACCCTTCCTTCTAGGTGGCCAGCCTGGTCTTAGAGAGAAGAAGTGCCAGGCCCGCACAGCAGTGTCCTTCTGCTAATGACCGAACGGGAGATGGACAGGCGGCTGTTTCCTTGGTAACAGCCATGCCTGGCAGGCCCGCGAGCTGTGTCTCGGTGACAGATGGTGAGGAGAGAGAATTGATGTTACTGTTGTCATGTCATCACATGCTGCTTTTAAATTGTCAAGTCAAAAGGGAAAGGCAGGAAGCCTTCCTCTGGGTACCCCCAACCCCCCAAAAAACAACAACAAACTGAGCAGTGGCGACCACCATGGGGCTGGCTTTCAGCTGCGGTGGGAGCCAGTCTAATGGGCTGTGTCTCTGCAAGACAGATGCATCGTCCTCAAAGGCTGACTGGTGCCCTTCTGCCCCTAGGCCTGTCTCGGCCCTCTTAGCAGCTGCTGGAATATGACTGTTTCTGCTAAGTGTTCTGCTAAGTGTTCAGGGGTGAAATTGAAGAGAGAGGACGTGCATTTTCTGACCCTTTTGGCTCTACATTCCAGCTAAGGGCACGGATGGGGCAGGCTGCGAGGTGGAAGACGGGCCAGGCATCTTGACTTGCTCTCAGCATCACCTTGCAAAGCAAACCCATGGTCAGTTGAGGGGGGCACAATCGTCCAGCTTTGTGGGTTGCCTCTTGGCACCCCCTTGCGATCTCTTCTGGCGGCTAGGAAAATGTGCATTTCCTTAGTGTGTTGTGATCTGAAGCTTACCCAGGCTCGAGTCCCGTTGTAAGGGTATCCTGTCTAGCTGCGACGGTATGAGGCAGATAGAGTGCAAGGTGGCCAGAGGCAGAGTGATGGGTGGGATGGAAGAGGGAGACTTGCGTTTGAACCAGGTCTGTTTTGCATTTCTGCCTCCTGTACACCATCTCCTGGGACCTTGAGAAACTGATGACAAAATGAGCCAGGGGCCCGGCTGGCAAGGGTGGACCTGGCCATACCACACTCCCCCACCTGCCTGCCTTAGATGCTTCCATTCTGGCCTCGACGGATGCTGACAGCTCCATCGGGGTCTCCCATGTGGACAGCAGGGGCCAGAGCACTGGGTCCATCCTCTGCTGCTTTCCCAGGTGCATTAGCAGGGAGCTGGGTTGGAAGTGGAGCAGCCAGGACTCAAACTGGTGCTCCTATGGGATGCCTGTGTCGCAGGTGGTAGCTTTACCCGCTGCACCACAATGCCGGCCCCTCCTTTTACACAGCTATGTGAGAACTTTGCAACATCTGCAGTTTGTACCTGCAGCTCACATCATGCTTCTATTGGGTAGCAATGATCTGTAATGTGTCTATAGGACTCCATCCTAAATGCCTAAATGTTAGTGAATGAAATCTTTCTATGTAAAGCAGAAGTCATTTGTCTGCTCAGCAGTTTGCATTGAGTTGTCGTGACCTGAAGGATTTATTTTTATCAACATCCCACAATACAGGTCCCAAGTTTGAAGTCAAACTGAAAAAGAACACCAACGGTTTGGGCTTCAGCTTCGTGCAGGTGGAGAGAGACAGCTGCAGCCACTCCAGCAATGATCTCATGAGGATTAAGAGGCTCTTTCCAGGGCAGCCAGCTGAGGAGCACGGGGCCATCGCCGTGGGTGACATCATCCTGGCAGTGAACGGAAGGTCCACCGAAGGCCTTGTCTTCCAGGTGCTGGGGCCTCGAGGAATGCAGCTGGGTGTGCACGCTGACCTTGGCCCGCGCTGGACGCTGATCACACAGAGGCAGCGACGGGCAGACCATTCCCATGTTAAATTGTCCTTCTCCATGGCCTTGAATTTGCGCTGGCTGAAGGTCTCTTAGCATATGGTGCGCAAGGCAGCGTGGAGTGGGCAGGCGAGAGGGGGCACCCTTCTGCTCTCCTTCCGGTCCCTCCGCTAAATGTGCAATTTTGACCCGTGGTTCTGCTCTGTCCTGCCTATGATCCAAGAAAGTGTGTGTGTGTGTGTGTGAGAGAGAGAGAGAGAGAGAGAGAGAGAGAGAGAGACTCTTCTCAATGTTTACAGCTCCAAATCTCAAGGAAACATTGTATATATGAGTGAGGATCCTGGCACAAATGGAGTAATTCAAGGAGAGCTTAGTAAAGGGGTGATCAGGCTGAGGGGAAGCCCGAGAGAGTGTCACCGTGGGCTGTAGCAGCCCCCTAAGCCCAAAGCGGGGTAGGAAGGTGCATTGACCCAGCCCTAGGAACTGAGAGATCGGTTGCAGTTGGGTGGAGGGGGCTCCCTAATGTGACACGTGATGTGATGTTAGCCGAGGGACACAGGAGTCCTGCGGCAGCCCCGATGGGCGGTAGTCAGAAAGCCTCTGGTCCCTGCCCAGGCTCCTCTGGGCAGAGCCAGGCTGGAAGCCTCACATCCCAGGCACACTAAGCAGGATGGACAAACGTGGAGGGACAGCCCCTGAGCCTCAGAGATCACGGCGAGGTGTAGACAGATGTGAAAGTCCGTGCATGGTGCTACCCCAGGAGCCAGCAAAGGGGGGCGCCCTGGGCAGCCAGGGGGACTAAGCCAGGTCTGCAGCAGCCGTGGTGCTCAAGCTGAGATTTTTTTTTAAAGGATTATTTATTTATTTGAGAGGCAGAGTTACAGACAGAGAGGTCTTCCATCTGCTGGTTCACTCCCCAGATGGCTGTAACAGCCAGAGCTGGGCTGATCCAAAGCCAGGAGCTTCTTCCAGGTCTCCCACGTGGGTACAGGGGCCCAGGGACTTGGGCCATCTTCTACTGCTTTCCCAGGCCACAGCAGTGAGCTGGATCAGATGTGGAACAGCTGGGACTTGAGCCGGCGCCCATATGGGATGCCGGCGCTGCAGGTAGCTTTACCTGCTACACCACAGCGCCAGCCCCCTGCCAAGATAGTTTTGCCTCTCAGGGGACAGTTGGCCAAGTCCAAAGATGCTGATGGAAGCTACTGATAACTAGAGACCAGAGAGGCTGCTGAGTACCTATAAGGCCCAGGACAGGTGTCCCAACAGAGAGTTATCCAGGATGAAAGGTCCACGGTGCTAAGAGGTTGAGAATTTTTTCTGTGATAGGAAGTAGGAGCTGCCAAAGCAAACTTGTGCCCTGGGCTTTGAAAGGGTGGCTTGGAGCTTGGGGTCCCAAATGGTGGGAGCTTAGGATGTGGGTACAGAAGGGAGTGGGTGTGGGTGCCAGTGAGCTGCAGCAAGAGGCAGCACAGATCAGAACAGAGTCTATGTGCCGGCCTTGGGGCTTCCCCCCAGAGCAAGGTGAGCCAGAAAGGGATGCAGCCTGGGAGGAGGCACCTGCTTACAGCTGCTTTTTGGGAAGACCACCCTTTTTTAAAAAAAGATTTTTATTTATTTATTTGAGAGAGAGAGTTATAAAGAGTGAGAGGGAGAGACAGAGAGAAAGGTCTTCCATCTGCTGGTTCATTCCCCAAATGGCCACAACAGCTGGAGCTGCACTGATCCGAAGCCAGGAGCCAGGAGCTTCTTCCGGGTCTCCCACATGGGTGCAGGGGCCCAAGGACTTGGGCGATCTTCTTCTGCTTTCCCAGGCCGCAGCAGAGAGCTGGATTGGAAGAGGAGCAGCCGGGACTAGAACCGGCACCCATATGGGATGCCAGCGCTGCAGGCAGAGGATTAACCTATTGCACTACGGTGCAGGCCCCACCCTTTTGCAATGTGGAAGAAAGAGGAAGGGGACACTGGAGAGGACAGGAGCAGTGAAGAGATGAGAGTTTCCCAGGGCCCACGCCCAGCCTTGCAGGGGGCTCAGAGCCAGGTCAGGCTTCAGAAATTGAGGAGGTAGAACCCAGACATGGGGGGAGGTGGGGAGAGAAGGGAACAGCCATTCGTTTGAGTCTCTCTGTCACTTGCTGAAGAGGAGGCACCAATTCTGGTGGATGCTGCCCCAGGGCACAGCCCAGCATCTGCGCATTGCCTCTGTGGGGGCTGAATGCCACTCGTCCAGGAACCTTGCACTCGGGAAAGTCAGGTCCATAGTGGTGTTTCCCAAAGCTCTCTGGAGCCGAGAAACTGATCCAGGTGGAGGTGGAGGGGGTGTGGAGCCCCCGGGGGACTCAGAGAAGATGCTCCCCTGTGATGCCAGCCCAGACCTAACTGGGGGGCTGGGTTTCTCGTAGGAGGTGCTCCACCTACTGCGAGCGGCTCCAGAGGAAGTCACGCTCCTCCTGTGCCGACCCCCTGCAGGTGCACTGGCTGATGTGGAGCCTGGCTGGCAGGTAAGAGGGCACCTCTGCTGTCCTTACCTGGCTGGCAGGTAAGAGGCGCACCTCTGCGCTCCTTACCTGGCTGGCAGGTAAGAGGGCACCTCTGCTGTCCTTACCTGGTTTCTGGCAGGTAAGAGGCACACCTCTGCGCTCCTTACCTGGCTGGCAGGTAAGAGGGCACCTCTGCGCTCCTTACCTGGTTTCTGGCAGGCACTCCTTTCCCTGTCTGGTGATCCTGAAATGCTCAAGGCTGTTTGTCGGTCGAGTTCAATGCCATCGTCTTTCACAGGAAAACAGCTGTCCCCAAACCTCAGTGAGTCTGTGACAAGCTCGGGCGGGCCTGGATCTTCGCCAGCTCCTTCCTCTTCCCTGCCTCTGCCTCTCCTGACATTTTCAACAGGCATTTCCATCCGGAGGAATGCGCTGGATGAATCACGAATCAGGCATTTATAGTCCGTGCCCAGCAAACAGCCACAGGGCTCATTTAAAACCCAGGAGTTTTACCTTGATGTTTGTGTTACTCTGGCTTTTTTGCAGACACAGAACCAATGAGGTGTGTATGTTTATAGAGCCAGAGAGTGATTTTAAGGAATCAGCTCACCGATTATGGGGTTAGGGTGGGGGGCGGCAAGTCTGAAACTCACAAGACAGACCCACAAGGTGGGAGGCCTGGGGAGAGTTGGTGTAGACACTCAAGCCAGGAGAGACAGAGGGCGCATTGCCTCTTCCTCCAGGAAGTCTTTAAGGCTTTCAACAGCCTGCCTAAGGTCCACCACATTCTGGAAGGCAATTTGCTTTCCTTGGAGTCTACTGAGTTTAACATCAACTACACTTAAAAAAAAAATACCTTCCTGGCAGTATCTAGCCTGGTGCTTGTCCAAATATATGAGTGTCGTGGCCTAGCCAAGGTGGCACATAAAGCTGTGGGGTCCCCAGGCGGCAGATCCTGTGGCACAGTCAAGGTCTGTGGGGCCAGGCCTTGGGGGATTGCCTGTTAGGGTCGGGGTGAGGGGCAAGGAGAGGCCAGTGTGGTGCAGCTGCAGCTGGGGCCTCCTGCACTGACGCCCTGGGTCTGCAGCTGGGCTGCCTCTCAGAACTGTCCTAAGTCATGGCAGCAGAGCCTGTGCCCGTGACCCTGGCCTCCGCCAGCCCTGGGGTGTGGGTTGCTTAATTTTGGCTGAGGTGTGCCCATGAGTAAGGTGTAGTTCCTGGGGAGGAGCTGGTGGTGAACCTGCAGGAACTGGCACTCCTGATGTTTGGGCTAGGTCAGGCTCTTGCTTTTTACCTAGAGTAGAATTCTAAGTAGACACAAACACGATGCGCAGCGTGATATGGCTTATTTATGGAGTGAAAATACACAAGAACATGGGGGCTTTATTAAGGGAGCATGGGCCAAGGAAGGGAAAAGAGGGACTTCTGTACCAGTCTATCCCTGGATCCCCAAGTGGGGTGGGGAGAGAGAGATCGAGAGAGAGAGAGAAAGAGAGAGGAAGAGCGCCCTCCCCTTCACCAAGCCTCTCCTGCGCTCCAAAATGGGGAGGAGTTACATAGTCTGATTGACAGGTGGGTTGATAGGATTACATGGGGGGCAGGGGAGGTATGGCCTCCAGCTCATGAACTATCTCCCTTGAGTTTTTGAAAGGCGGAGATATGGAGAGAGAAGGAGAGAGAGAGAGAGAAGGGGGGGGGAGAGAGAGAGAGAGAGAGAGATTCCATGTATTGATTCACTTCCCAGATGGCTGCAAGCCAGGAACCAGGAGCTTCTTCCAGGTCTCCCACGTGAGTGCCAGGGCCCAAGCACTTGGGCCATCTTCTGTTGCTTTTCCAGGCACATTAGCAGGGAGCTGGATCAGAAGTGGAGCAGCCGGGACTCGAACTGGCACCCATATGGGATGCCAGCTCTCAGGCAGACGCTTAACATTTATACCATAGCGCCGGCCCTGGCTTTTTACTCTTTAAAAAAAAAGCGTCTTTAGGGGCCAGCACTCTGGCACAGTGAGTAAAGCCACTGCCTGCAGTGCCAGCATCCCATATGGGCACCAGTTTGAGTCCTGGCTGCTCCACTTCCAATCCAGCTCTTTGCTATGGCCTAGGAAAGCAGTGGAAGATGGCCCAAGCCCTTGGGCCCCTGCGCTTTCGAGGGAGACCCAGAAGAAGCTCCTGGCTCCTGGCTTCGGATCGGCGCAGCTCTGGCCATTGCAGCCAATTGGAGAGTGAACCAGCGGATGGAAGACTTCTCTCTCTCTGTCTCTCCTTCTCTCTCTGTGTAACTCTGACTTTCAAATAAAATAAATAAATCTTTAAAAGAAAATCTTTAGAGTTTGCTCAGTGTGTGCCACGGGGGCAATAATCACTTGGATTTCTTTTCGCAGACACCTGCACCCTCGGCAGACAGAGAATTCTCCAGGGCAGCATGTACTGACTCAGAGCAGAGCCCCAGTCTGGATCGGGAGGAGAGCTGGAGGGACAGCGCCTCCCCCGACACGGGGGAATGCCTGGGTCTCATGGCAGAGCCATTGCAAAAGGCTCTCAGAGAGGCGCAAGGGGGCCAAGGCAGAGAGAGGCCCTGGGCCAGCTCCTTGACACATGCCCCGGAGTCCCAACCTCACTTATGCAGACTTCGCCGAGACAAGGAGGCACCGCCAATGCCTACCGCATTGGAAAGGGACATGAGGCAGCACTGCTATTCTGTTTGTGACCTCCGGAGACTTGGGAGGTAAGAATCCTGTGGTTTGCAGACCTTTTGGTAAATCACGTGCATGGCATTGCTAGACAATTCCAATCAAGCAGTCAGTAACTGTGGTCAGATACTCCTAGTACCCAGCACAGTTCTAGGCATTAGGAAGGGTGGCAGACACAAGAGAAAAACAAAGTTTGGAGCCACCGCCTGTGAGATTTGGGGGAGCAAACCTGACTGAGACTACAATTATCTCCAATATGTCCCGGAAGCTACAGATGTTCTGGGATTTTTCCCAGAACACAAACTTTTTCATCCCTCATGGCCTGTTTTTAAAAATATATATCTATTTATTTATTGGAAAGGCAGAATTACAAAGAGAGAGGGAGAGAGAGAGAGAGAGAGAGAGACCACTATCTTCTGTCCATTGGTTCACTGCCCAAACGGCTGCAATGGCCAGAGCTGGGCCAGACCAAAGCCAGGAATCTGGAACTCCATCCAGGTCTCCTACGTGGGTGGCAGGGGACCAGTTACATGGGCCATTATCTGCTGCCCTCCTAGGTGCACTAGCATGGAGCTGGATTGGAGGTAGAGCAGCCAGGGTTCAAACCAGCACCCATATGAGGTGCCAGCATTGTAGACAGTGGCTTGACCCATTGCACCACAATGTTGGCCTCAAAACTGCAGCTTTCACGTCCATGGATTCAACCAACTGTGCACTGACAATCACCCCCCAAACCCTAAAACAAACTGCACCTGTCCTGAACATGTAGACTTTTCTGGCTTGCTATTATTTCCTAAAGATTGCACCATAACGACGATTTGCATAGCATTTACATTGCATTGGGTATTATAGGTCATCTGGAGATGATTCAGAGCAGACAAGAGGATGCGCCTAGGTACCAGGCAAATACCGCACATTTAATAATGTGAAAGACTTGAGCAGCTGCAGATCTTGGTGTGGGGAGCAACTCGGACTAGACTGTTACTGGAATTAAGACTTATTCTATGCATCTGCTCTCCCACAATATGGTGCTGGGAGAGGAGAAAACAGCTTCTACACAGCTGCCTCCAGTTCAACCAATAAACAGCAGGAGCTTGCTCCTGATTGGAGGAGAGCAGCGTACTCGGCGTGTGGGTAGCAGAGTTGGGATTGGTGGAAGAGGACTATAAAGGAGGAGAGAGACAACATGCACCAGGAACATCTAAGGGGAACATCTATCTGAAGGAACACCTGTGCACCCCCCGAGCGAGCCGGCCGGCGGTGTACCGCTCCCCTGAGGAAGTGGGGAAAGCGGCAGGGGGAACCGCCCTTCCACGGAGGTGGAAGGGATGGCAGCCAACCCGGGAAGAACCATCAGCAAACCCGGGGAGGGCCGAGCAGACGAAAGAACAGCACAGGGTCCTGTGTCGTTCCTCCACGAAGACGGGGAGCGACATCTTGGTATCTGAAAGGGGTCCTGGAGCTGATGCCCAATGGATCCCTAGGGACCACTCTAGGAAAGAGTGCACCAGCACCCTTAGGCCCAGGGAGAGCTGAGGCAGACAGAAGAGAGGTTCCCCTAAAGCAGGCAGACACAATGTTTTAAAGAGCCCTGTGCTAACCTTGCAAAACCCAACCCATCTGCAGGCAGAGTAGGATAGGTGAGCACATTTGTCACTGATGTTCATTGTCATTGTCTGAAACGGATGAACGCAGATGTACTGCTGCTTCCTTATGATTGCACTCCAGGCACTAGTCCACAGACGTACTTGATAAAATGATAAAGGACATAGCCTGCAGAGATCCATGTGAGGACAAGCACAGAAAACCACTTCCCTGTGAGAACAGGGCTGCGTGTTCTGCTCAGGAGTGTGGGGTGATGAACAGGGACCCTGTGAGCTGGGTTGTGAAAGGGCTCTAGGCTTAGGTACCAGCTGGGAATTTTACTTGCTATGATAGTCAGTAGTTATTAAAATTGTATACATGTGATGATTAACATAGGCACTCAGTGTTTCATTCATGGCATCACGGAGCGTCAGCTTGCCCAGCGTCCAATGATCAGCTCTCACCTCCTCCTCCATGCTGGAGTCTGCTTTGTAGCCTCCTGGGAGAAGGGGTCCCAGCTTTTACTCAACCATGGAAACCCATTTTACTATCACGTAGTTGTTGATCAGAGAGTATTTCCTCGTATTAACAGGCAGTCGACCTCTCTGAATCTTCTCTTTGTAAGTCCTGACACTCTGGAAGAAACATCACATTACTGTTTTTTTTTCCCTGAGTCAAATGGCCTTTGGCTGAGTGCCCCTTCCTTGCAAGGGTATACCAGATGTCCACAATCTATCACCGTTGGAGGGCTTGCTCTCTTGAGTCACACAAGACTCCAGGGGGCTCTTCCAGGACATCGCAACAGAACTTCTGATCTTCAGTCTGTTATCATTGCCACATGCCCACGGCCGTGTGGTCCAGGCAGCCTGAGTGTTCCCAGCACGGCTCCCTCTGTGGCCAACACCTCTCCCTTCCTCTTGCTTCCTCGTGATGCGGGCATTCTGCTCCCTCTCATTTCCTGGCTCCATTTCTCCCTTATTTTCTCTTCCACTGGCAGAAAGGACTCAAAACCGGTTCAGTTCTCTTACAGCAAGGGGATAGTAGGTTTGCATTTCACACACACATAGTTAGCGATCGCCCCCTACAGGAAGAAACATGTAGTGCATGCCCAGTGAAACGGAGACCCTAGCTCTGGGAGCCCCAGTAGCCTCAGGAGTGGGACTCCAGAGCAGAACCGTGACTCTCTGTGGACCCCTTGAAGTGTCTGAATTGGCCGTCTCAGCCCAACTGTCTCTTTGCTTGTGGCATCTGCCAGTCAAACTCCATTTCTGCAATTTAGAACAAGAAGAGCATGGTGACTTCCCAGTCTTTCAGCTCTGCTGCCTGCCTGTGAGCCTGGAGATGGACTTCTCGCAGGGGCACACGAGGACCAGGGCAGTTTCAGAGGGTCGGTTTGAAAGCAGACGCCCAGGGCGGAGCATTGTCACCGCGCCTGACACACGCAGGAACTCAGCACACATCTCTGCTTTCCCTTTCCTAAGCTGTTTTCCCTTAAAGCACAGGTCCCATTGGTTGCCATTCCCAGCAAATTGCCGGAATTTGCCGTCTGCTGGGTGGCTACTTCCTACTGCTGACGGCTGCCAGCGCCCCAGCAAATATTCGTGGAGAAGATTGTGTTTCACGTTGCCTTCTTTGCGTTTCTGCACGCCACACCCAGAGACTTGGCTGTACCGTGTAGATCTGTGTAAGGCACATTGTCATAAAGCAGAGCACTGCATTTAAAAAAATTTTTTTTATTTATTTTTTTGAGAGGTAGAGTTATAGAGAGTGAGAGGGAGAGACAGAGAGAAAGGTCTTCCATCTGCTGGTTCACTCCCCAAATGGCTGCAATGGCCAGAGCTGTGTCGATCCAAAACCAGGAGCCAGGTGCTTCTGCCCAGTCTCCCATGTGGGTGCAGGGGCCCAAGGACTTGGGCCATCTTCTCCTGCTTTCCCAGGCCGTAGCAGAGAGCTGGATCAGAAGTGGAGCAGCTGGGACTAGAACCGGCACTCATATGGGATGCCGGCACTGCAGGCTGAGGATTAACCTACTGTGCCACAGCGCTGGCCCCAGCCCTGCATTTTCATGGGTGTGCCTTCCAGAGGGAAGACTTGGCTGAAGTGGCATCTTACGCATGGCTAGTTTCTGAAGTGAGGGCGTAAGGGGAGATCCACATCAAGCCACACTAGCCTTGGACAGCACTCTGGGAGCTGGGGTGCTGTTGTCTCCCCAGGGAGGAAGCAGCTCACTTCTCCTTTGAAACAATCTCCTATGAATTCTGGAGGCTTGCGTTATGGGCCAGGCTGTGTGCAAAGTGTTTAGAGTCTGGTCTCAGGACAAGAGACCGACTGAGGAGATGCAGGATTCAGTTCTCTAAATAAGTGTATTTCACTTGGTCCTTGCAGAATGAGTAAAAGTATTTCTCTGTCTCTGTCTCTACACACGTAAGCACCTGAGAGAGGTCTTCAGAAAGTTCACGGCAGATGCATCTGGTGAAAAAAACTCCCTGGATTTCAAAAACTTTTGCACCAAAATAAACAACGTGTAATTCCATTTCCTGTAGACTCTTTGAACTTCCTGTTACTGTGTATTTATAACTTTGGCCTAGCATATGTAGTTGAATTCATGTAAGTGAAATGCTTGTCTGTTCAGCAAGTGATGACGTAAGTCTCCATGTCCATTTCAGAAAGCAAAATGAAGCCGGCGCCGCAGCTCACTAGGCTAATCCTTCACCTGCGGCGCCGGCACCCCAGGTTCTAGTCCTGGTTGGGGCGCCGGAATCTGTCCGGGTTGCTTCTCTTCCAGTCCAGCTCTCTGCTGTGGCCCGGGAGTGCAGTGGAGGATGGCCCAAGTGCTTGAGCCCTGCACCCGCATGGGAGACCAGGAGGAAGCACTTGACTCCTGGTTTCAGCGCCGGCCGTAGCAGCCATTTGAGGGGTGAACCAATGGAAAAAGGAAGACTTTTTTCTCTGTCTCTCTCTCTCTCACTGTCTAACTCTGCCTGTCCAAAAAAAAAAAAAAATGCAAAATGAAGCAGAAGTCCTTGAAATGACCCTGAAGTTACTGATACCATTTGGGGGAGAGTGCTATTCCTGGAATAGTAAAAGATAATTAGCAGTCGAAAGGTCTAACTCAACTGCAGCTGTCAGGTCAGGTGTGACACCAGTGTCGTATGGAGGGATGAGGCTGACAAGTGAGCAGAGCTGGAATGGGAGGAAAGATTTGCAAGTTGACGAAGGATTAAAATGCAGAGTATACAGGGCACTAAAAAAACAAAACAAAACAAAACAAAACAAAAAAAAAACTCAAGAAGAAAACCCAACTAGTCGAGTTAAGAAATGGGCAAAGGGTCTGAATCGACACTTCTTAAAAGAAGAAATACAAATGACCAACAGATATGTATATAGAATGATTATGAATAAAAATAATTATTATTGATAGAGTAAAATAAAAATTAAAAATGCTGGTGAGGATGTAGAGAAAAGGGACCCCTTGCACTCTGTTGGTGGGACTGTAAATTAGTATAGCCACTAGGGAAAACAGAATGGAGATTTCATGAAATATTGAGAGAGAAGTGCCCTTTGACCCAGCGATGCCACTATATAGAGTAAATGTCCAAAAGTCAGAAACTCAAACCAAACAGGCACCTATACCACTGTCTTCATTGTAGCACAATCTGCAATAGCCAAGATACGGAATCAATCAAGATGCCTGTTATCAGATGAATGGGTAAGGAAAATGGGACACACACACATCTGCATGGAATTTTTAGGGCCAAAGTAAACTTATCTTTTAATTCCACCTCCTAGGAACTTGACGCAGTGACCTCATATTGATGTCTAGCTCAGGTTTATCACTTGAGCTTCAAATCTAGCAGTCCGTCAGAGTTCTCTGCCTTGATGTGTTGGAGGCACTGCAAATCCAACCTGCCAGACACCCTATCTGCCTGGGGAACAGGCAGATGGCCCATTCTTTGAGATAACGCGCGTGGACGTCCCCTCTCTACAACACGAGATACACTCAGACAGGTCCCCGGTAGCTCTCAGGAGCGGGAATACTGTCTCATTGGCAGAAAGCTCGGGGTGGGATAGAGAGTCCCGGCTCTACCAGGGAGGGGGACAGACCTCTGGAGGCCTGCGGGTTTGTGATGTGAAGAGGAAGGGGCATTGCAGGACAGGGGACAGTCCCTTGGTTGGAGCGCAGGGCTGGAGACTGAGGTACTGTGTGGTTGCTAAAAAGCTAAATCTTTGTGCTTTTCTCTTAGATTTTCCTTTTCGTCCTCTCTAACCAGACTTGCCAGCGGTCTTTTCTGAGCACCCTCTCTGCATGTTGGCAGCGCCGTGCACGGACTGCTCTTTCTAACCAGAGGCCTGCGTGGGGATCTGGGGGCGGCCCCGGGGAAGGCCGACTCTCTCACCTTTGCATCTGCAGCTGCCTCGCCAGATAGCAGCTTCGCCGTGCCTCTGCGTCCTGTGTCCCTCCCGTGACGTGGGGAGTCCAGCTGGTGGCCTCGTGAAACACGCACTCTTTCAGCGCCTTTCTGGGGAGGGGCCCGGTATTTATGCGAAGGGCTTTGAAAGTTGAGCTGCGCCCAGCCCCCTTCTCAGGCTCTTTCTAATTCCTCTACTGAAACAGTAGTCATCGCAGCTGTAATAATAGCATCTCAGCCTCTGCGCCAGGAGCCACGGGAGGGCGGCATTGGAAGTGTTTGGTTGAAGCATCCCAGACATCCCACGTGGGTTTTTTTTTTTTTCCTTCCTGTGTTTCAAATGCAAAAACGCTGAGGTTCCAGAGAAATCAATAAACTCATCCAGGGTCGGATGGGCTCTGCGAGGAGTGTGTCTGAGACCTGGGTTGCAGCTCTGTCTGCCATGCTGTGCCCCCACCCTATCCTGGTCTCCTCGCCTTGGTAAGGTGCTCTCCCAACCAGCTCCCATAATGCCCTGGGCTGCCAGCACCGTTGCACTTACACCTCTGGACAGTGGCATTTGTTTCCTGCTGTTTCTTCTTTTTAAACTGGAGCTGGGCCGGTGCTGCGGCTCACTTGGTTAATCCTCCGTCTGCGGTGCTGGCATCCCATATGGGCTCCGGGTTCTAGTCCCGGCTACTCCTCTTCCAGTCTGGCTCTCTGCTGTGGCCCGGGAAGGCAGTGGAGGATGGCCCAAATGCTTGGGCCCTGCACCTGCATGGGAGACCAGGAAGAAGCACCTGGATCCGGGCTTTGGATCCACGCAGCGCTGGCCGTAGCAGCCATTTGAGGGGTGAACCAATGGAAGGAAGGCCTTTCTCTCTATCTCTCTCACTGTCTAACTCTACCTGTCAAAAAAAAAAATAAACTGGGGGCTCCCTCCAGAGCGGGGGCCATGCCTTATTCACTGTCTGCTTGCTGGTGCTTGGAGCCGTCTCGGACAGGAGCTGTCTGAACTCTGGCTGGGCCTCACAGGATGCATCGTTGTGAACATTCTGGAAGGCAGGGAGAAGGGGGCAAGGGATCTCTGATCAAGGCTGGGAGGCACAGGGGTTTCTGTTTTCCAGCAATGAATCGGACAAGGACGATGAAGAAGGGGGCTCGTGCCCTCCATCTGAAGCCCCTTCTCCCGCCTGGGGGGATGAAGACTACCTGACTATTGACCCTGCATCTGAAGGCCAGCTCCCCTGCAGAGACTGTCTGGAGGCAGATGCAGGCACCATCCCCTTGCCTCAGTTCTGTTCCTGGGCCTCCCTCCCAGAGCCTTGGCCTCCAGAAAGCTGTCATGGGAGTGAAGACGAATGGGAAGACATAGAGGAGCCTGTGGATACGGATGGCGATGGCGATGGCGATGGTGACGGCCTCCGGTGGGTATCACCCAGCCTGGGGGAGGCGAGATGAGGCTGAGCTCTCTTGTGGGCACAGTGTTTGCACTTTGGCTGGGGAGATGGGCCACGAGCATCCCCAGTTTCCCCGGCATCCCTGCTGGGGGCCACCCCGGTAGCTATTGTCACTGACTACCCACTGTGGTGCATGTTCCATGATGATGACAGGACAGGACCAGGAATGCCATCGCCCCGTTTTACACACAACACATCTGGGGCTTGCTGAGGTCTCTACCCAGTCAGAGTTCACAGCCAGGCCTGGCGTCATGGCGCAGTGGGTTAAGTTGCACCTGTGGCAATGGCATCCCATATGAGCACTGGTTTTCCAATCCTGGCTGCTCCACTTCCGATCCAGCTCCTTGCTAATGCACCTGGGAAGACAGCAGAAGACGCCTCAAGTGCTTGGGCTCCTGCCATCCATATGGGAGACCCGGATGGAGTTCCAGGCTCCTGGCTTTGGTCTGGCCCAGCCCTGGCCGTTGTGGCCATTTGGGGGAGTGAACCAGTGGATGAAACTCTCTCACTTTCTTTCCCTCTGTCTCTCCCCCTCTCTCTGTGTTACTCTGCCTTTCAAATAAATAACAAATAAATACATCTTTAAAAAATGAAAAGACTTCACAGCCCAGTCTCAGCCATGGCCCACAGTTGAGGGCACTTGTGGGCTGCCTCCAGCACAGGGTGCCTGCCCCATCTCTCCTCAGGCCTCTCTGTCTTGGGGGGTGGGGTGGGGTGGGTGGGACTGCTACCTATCACTGGCCAATCCTATTTTCTGTCTGGCCTAGGGCTAGGTGCATTTGAGAGACAGGCCTCTCTGTCCTGGAATGGGCCCTCTTGTTGGGCCACTGTCGCTGGGGACAGACCAGAGACTGTTCATGCAAAGGGACTAGGCCACCGGGCGGGGGTCAGAGCGTCTGAGGAAGACATGGCAGGGGCAAGTGCCACGGAGCTGTTAGACTGCAGGGGTGGGGGACGTGAGGCGGCCCACACGGCAGTGAAGTCCCTATAATGTGTGGACTTCCAGGGGCAGGGCGCACGCAGAATGCTCCAGAAACTTTGACAGCAGCACCTCCTCAAGGCACCCCGAAAGTTAATGAGGAAGACATTGGTTTGTGAAGATCTGGGGCTCAGTGAGATGTGCTCCTGCACTCCACTGCCTCCTGTCCCAGCTACGTCTTCCCGGCTCTATGGGAGGCAGCTCAGTCACCACAAATGATCGAACTGGATCCTCTGGGCACACTGGCAGGCAAGCTGACAAGGAGAGTGAGTATTTGAGATTCTGCCAGTGAGATAAGAGGCTGGTGCTTATTGGGACTAAGAAGCTACAAGTTAATAGAGTGGAAGATTCCAGAAGCTTTGAAGACCATGCATGGCCATTTACGGGCATGCTGGACTCTCTGACAAGGCTGAGCAGGTCCGTGATGGATTCACAGAAGTGCGGAACAAGCAGGGGGCTCGCTGGGGAGGGCAGATTTCCTGGAGGCGGCTCCTCTGGGCTGGGGAGCTGCAAGCAGAAGGCTGGGCCACCGGGAAGCCACAAAGAGCCACACGTGTCCCAGTGAGGTCTGCAGCCAGACTCTACGCAGGCAGCCATGGTCACAAGTGCTGATGGCAGGGCGGAGAGGCTGGAGGGCTCTGGTTCATGGCCTGGCTCTGCCCCAGCCTAGCTGGATGACCTACAGCAAATGACTTGCCAATCATCCACAGCTCAGCTGCCTGTCAAACGGAGATCACCAACCTCACCTCATGCTCTTCTCGTCAGGGCCAGGTGCCAATGCACTCGCAAAGGATTAGCTATTTTTGTCATAAGTCGTAAAGGAAGTTGAGGTGATGTCACCATCTGAGTGTGTGTTCAGGCCTGCTGAGTTATTTTCCCCCCAACAGACAAAAGAACCAGGCAGTTGGTCTTGTGCCCCAACACGCTGTGTGGGACAGGCTGGGGAGAAGTCCTCATGTATGGTGAGGGGGTCGGGATCGGGTTACAGTTAGCTCAAGCCTGCCATGGCCCCTTGGCCTGTACTTTGGGAAAGCAAGTGTCACCCTCCATGCACCTGCTGCTGGCAGAGTGGCATGCAGGCATCGAGTGCTCAAGGTATGAGTTCCTAGCCTGGGCCTCCAGAGCAGCTCACAGATGTGTTTCATGGCCCCGTGGAGTCTCACATCTAGAATATTAGCCGTGTGCTGCTTCGGGAAAAGGAGCAGCTCTTCCTATTCCTTAACTTCTCAGCGGGGTCTGTAATGCCCCAGAGCTTAGGGACCTCTGCCATCCACGCCAGTGGCACGTGGGGACCTTGAAGCAGCGCATCCTCTAAACTGACATCACGAATCATGCTGCTTGCCCCTCTCAGTCTCTGAGGCAGTAATAGGATAAAGACTGTCTCTTCCGGCGATCTAATGTACTCATCACGTCATGCTGCAATGGGCTGCTCACTCCTCTGTTACAAACAGGCTTAGCAAGCTGATTTCCTTCACCCAAGATCAAACAGTGAGCAGAGGTGGCAGGTGGCTTCACACTACAGCTGTCTCATTCCACTTTGGGCACCTTCCCCCATTGCCCCGAGAAAGTGTCTCTGCACGTGAGTTTATATAACAAGCCCATCCCTCCGTCAAGTGGCAGGAGTCCTACTTTTTCCTCTAAAGCACCTCCACAATTTCTCTTTTATGAGATTGAAAACAACTCCCATGGTGCAGTGGGACCAAGGAGAGGGTGGACCTGTTCTGTTTGGGGAAGGCCCTAGTCAGGGGTGAGGCACTCACCCAGAGCTGCTTACTGTTCCAGGTGAGCACAGAGGCAGAACCTGTGGTCCCTGGTGATCCTGCAGGTGACCTTGGTCCAGAGGACGTGGCTGCTGGCTGTGCCACTGCGGATCCCTGAGAAGGTGACCTGGACTGGAGACCCTGGCCTGCTTTGTCAGGGCCTAACTGCAAAAACATCGCACCTGCCATTTTCATTTTGCATAGTGACTGTGACCTTCTTGTGAGTTCTACGATGTATATTAAGCAAAGCATTGGGTGTTGTGTGTGTGTGTGTGGGGGGGGGGTGGGCGTACAAGTTGGCTTCCCTACCTGAAAGGAGTTAGAGAAGCAACCGAGGCCTTGCACCGGCACACACTTTCCAGTGTGGATGCAATGCGCCAGTCCACACTGCTCAGTCCCTCGTTGGACAGAGGAGTTTCTGTGGTTATCAAAGTTCCCCCAGTTCCCTGGATAGAATCTACCACGGGTCTTGGCCAATTTCCGCTGCTTCCTCAGGCTATTAGCAGGGAGCTGGACTGGAAGGGGAGCAGCTGGGACATGAACAAGCACCCGTATGGGATGCTGGCGCTGCAGGTGGAAGCTTAGCCAGCTGTGCCACAGCACACTGCCTTCCCCTCCCCAGCTGAGCCTGTATAACCAACCCTCTCTTGAGAACATAACCTAAGGACGTGCCCCTGGACCCATCTCCTAGATGTCATAATCAGATAAAATTTCCTCCATTTTAGTACTGTGAGCTTATGACTTTGCCAAAACATGTTTAAAAATTATAGGAAAAGACAAGTTACACCCTGGGGGAAAGTCGCTGCAAACCACAGACCCAACAAAGGACTTGTATCTAGAATATATAAAGAATTAAAAGCATTCAATAGTAAAATGTAAATCGAATTCAAAAATAAGCAGGACATGAATGGAACTTCACCGAAGATGATATAGGGATGTAAATAAGTGCAACCCTCGAGCCTTCGGGAAAATGCAAAGTAAAGCCACAATAAGACGTCCCTACTCAGGTGTCAGACTGGTAAAATCAGTGACAACACCAAATGCTTGTGGAGATACAGAGAAAATGCTTGCCAGTGCATCCAATGGGGAAAAGGTAACATACAACTAAACACACCATTGCCAGAAGACCCAGAAACTGCACCTGGGACATTAATCCTAGAGAAATTAAAAGTTTATTTGTACAAGCCCCTGCATACAAATATTCACAGCAACTTGATTTGTAATAACACCAAACTGCAAACAACTCAGATGTCCTTCAGCCATGCTACTGGTTAAGCAAAATGTGGAAATCTGTGTGGCAGGGAGTGAACTGTTAGTACTCTCATGCTTGGGCGGAACTCTGGGAGTTAGGCCAGTCCCCAAAGGCAGTACAAGTATGATTCCATTTAAATCGACAAAATGGTGGAAATGGAGAACAGATCGGTGATCAGCAGAAGTCAGGGGGGGGTGGGGAGGAGAGGTGGGACAGGGGGGAAGTGGATGTGGTTGTGAAAGAGGGCTCCTGTGGTGATGGGATGGTTGCGTGTTCACTGTGGCAGTGGATATGTTAACCCACCCACGTGATAACATCGGATAGAATTTACACACACATGCACTTGCGTTTAAATAAAACTAAGACAATCTGGACAAGACGGATGGATTGTGTCACTGCAATACGGTAGCTGTGAGATTGAACTGTCGGTTTGCAAGATGTTACTGTTGGGACAAACTGGGTAAGGGTACAGGTGCTCATCTGTATCATTTCTTCTAACTGCAAAGGAGTACTCAACCATTTAACAATTTAAAGCATGCAATGGAAAAAGAGGGAGCTTCTCAAGACCGCTTTCTCCAGGCCATGGCTGCTCCACACTGCTGGGATGGGTGTTACAGAAAACTACCAAAGGAGAGTACTGACTTTGATTCTCCAATAGCCCAGTTATATAGCTAGCGCCATCCCCATGACATGTGTAGTATTTCCCATTAATTGTAATAGACTAAAGCCAATTCCATGCCTCAGCTACATATAACTCCACTGCACAGTAAGAACTCAACAGTCAAATAATTCAGAAGGAAAGAAACAGGGAAGAGCTTTGGAGCAGCCGTCTCTGTCTCTGCTCCATTTCAGCGTGGCACACATTCACTGAGCACTGACTGTCCAACTACAAACAGGGTCCCAGGGATAGAGACGGATGTGGCTGGGGATTGCCCTGTGGGGGCTTCCTTCTGGCAAAGGAGGTAAAACCAAAACATACGAACCAGCATCATAACCAGTGGGACTGATGCTGGAATGATGGCCTAGAGATCAATGTTGTATAGGAAGCAGGGGTTATTTTTTTGACAAAAGGGAATATCCATCCTGCTGGGGGAAAGTCTTGGTTGGGGCAGCCAAGCATTCCTCTGAGAGGAGAGGTTGTTACAGCACTCAGCATGCTGGGCATAGGAGGAGGTGACCGGGACACAGCAAGCAGACGGAGGGGCACATGGGGCTAGGATAAGGAGAGGGGCCAACGGATGAGGAGGATGAGGGGCATACAGAGTGTGAATGAAGAGGCTTGGTGGGGCAGGCATTATGGCGTATCAGATAAAACTACCGCCTGCAGTGCCAGCATCCCATATGGACAGTGGTTCGAGACCCAGCTGCTCCACTTCTGATCCAGCTCTCTGCTATGGCCTGGGATAGCAGTGGAAGATGGACCAAGTCCTTGGGCCCCTGCACCCATGTGGGAGACCTGGAGGACGCTCCTGGCTTCAGATCTGTGTAGCTCTGGCCATTGCAGCCATCTAGGGAGTGAACCAGCAGATGGAAGACCTGTCTCTCTCTGTCCCTGCTTCTCTGTAGCTCT